TGGGTGCTTGTGGTGGGGTTTTCGGCTGGCTTGTCTCCCACTTCCTTTCAATTGTCTCCAACTTCTTTTCATTTGTCTCCCTGGGTGCTTGTGGTCGGGTTCCCGGCTGGCTTGTCTCCGGACTTGTACTTCACTGTTACAAGTTCTTTACCCCTATTTCTAACCTAATGCATGCATAAGCGGGGGGTAAATTTACCCCCCAGAGTTGCCATAACCATAAGCCGGCTATTTCCTCAACACACTCTACTCCTTATACCTTTTACCAGTGCTTATCCTACACTGCGGACGCCCTAGTGTATGCACAGTCCTTGTGATGCCAGAAATATCCAGAAATGCTTACCCCTCTTTCCGGCACAAGGCATACATAAGCGGTGGGTAAATTTTAAAAAATTAACCACCAGAATTGCAATAACCATAAGCCGGCTATTTCCTCAAGACACTCTATATTCCATATACCCTTTACCCGTGCTTCTCCTACACTACGGACGCCCAGTGTATGTACAGTCCGTGTGACGTCAGAAATGCTTACCCCTCTTTTCGACTCAAGGCATACAAAAGCGGGGGGTAAATTTACCCCCCTTCGTGCCTGCCAACGAGTGCGCCCGTGTTGTTCCAATGTACCCTTCCCAGTCGGCGATGTCACATTTACATTCTTCAGCGCAAAGTGTGTACGTAGCAACCTTTCTCCCAAAACATGTAATCACTACATGCTTTGCCGACTATGTAACTAGTACATCCGGTGCAATTCGGCTAGCTTTCGACCTCCTCCCCTGGCCTTAAGTCATTTGTCTCCCAGGTCTGTCATTGGTGGTGTCCGCCCTTTTCCGTTGGCCACGCAACATTTCTCTTCATTTGTCTCCCAGGTCTGTCACTGCCGGCCCGCCCTTGGACGCTGGTTCTATTCATCATTTGTCTCCCAGGTCTGTCACTTGCGGTGTCCGCCCTTTTCCGCTGGCGATGCAACAGTTCTATTCATTTGTTTCCAAGGTTGGTCACTGCTGGTGTCCGCCCTTTTCCGCTGGCTTTTCTGCTGGCCATGTAGCATTTCTATTCATTTGTCTGCCACATCTGTCACTGCTGGTGTCCGCCCTTTTCCGCTGGCCATGTAGCATTTCTATTCATTTGTCTCCCAGGTCTGTCACTGCTGGTGTCCGCCCTTTTCCGCCGGCGATGCGACATTTCTATTCGTTTGTCTCCCAGGTCTGACTGGTGGTGTCCGCCCTTTTCCGCTGGCCATGCAGCATGTCTATTCATCTCCCAAGTCTGTCACTGCTGGTGTCCGTCCTTGTCCGTTGCCATGCAGCATTTCTATTCATGTGTCTCCCAGGCCTGTCACTGGTGGTGTCCGCCTTTTTCCGCTGGCATTTCTATTCTTGCGTCCGCTGGTGTGTGTTTGTCTATTGGCCATGAAGCATTTCTATTCATTTGCCTCCCAGGTCCGTTACTGCTGGTGTCCGCCCTTTTCCGTTGGCCATGTAGCATTTCTATTCATTTGTCTCCCAGGTCTGTCACTGCTGGTGTCAGCCCTTTTCCGCTGGCGATGCAACAGTTCTATTCATGTGTGTTCCAGGTCTGTCACTGCTGGTGTCCGCCCTTTTCCGCTGGCCATGCAGCATTTCTATTCATTTGTTTCCCGTGTCTGTGACCGGTGCTGCCGCCCTTTTCCGCTGGCCATGTAGCATTTCTATTCATTTGTCTCCCATGTGATTTCTTTCTTTTTGCTGCGCTGGTGTTTTCTGCCCTGTCCGCTGGAACAGGTTGACCTGTGAAAGGTTCTTGCTCCTTTGAAAGGGGTGCGTGATTGTCTCCGGGATTGCATTCCTGCCACACTGTGTAACTCTCTCAGCTTTGTTTTCCTTTTCGGGCAAGCGTTGGATGAATGACCGGATTGGATTTCGGCGTTCAGTTGGGACGGAGGGCATACGTCAGGCACCAAAAACCAGTTTCATGTCACGTCCTTCGCTCCTCATGCTTTTATTTCTTGTCCTCACGTGGTCAGCTCCCCGCTGATTGAGCAGCATGACCAGCATCATGTTCGCACTTGAAGAATAATTCCCCAAAAGGTTTGCTGTTGGGGCTTGTCAATTCTTTCTTAAGATGTGTCCGCCTGCTCTGTACGCAATCCTTTGTCTCCCAGCTCTGGGCGTCGCAAGCTCTAGTTTCGATTTGAAAAGCGCAAACTGTTTGGGGTCTACGGTGGTGTAATTTTCTTCATTCCTCTCCTGCTCCCTCCCTCTCTTCTCCTTGCTCAGCTAGCTTCAATTTGAAGGACCTTGCTTGTTGAAAGTAAAGTACGTATCATTTGATCAAACCTATCGCGTGTTGCGCTGGCACCTGTTACCCTTGCACTTGCAACTCAGTCAGCGCTGGCCCTGTTCAAATTGCCGTTTTTCTTTGCCTCACACCTACCATATCCTACCATATCAGACCACATCTATTTTTCAGATCTTGCCTTCTTTCACTGCCAGGTTGGTGATCTCTTCATTTGTTGCTGTGATCGCCATCACGTCACGTCGCTCGCAGTCGAGTCCACATATCAAGCTACACATGCACGCGCCTTTTATGCAACAGCTATAGTATATATATATACAATCTAATCTAATCTAATCTAATCTAATCTGATATAATAATATGATATGATATAATATAATATAATACAATATTACATAATATAATGTGTATATATATATATATATGTGTACACATGAGGCTCATGAGGTCACATGATATTTGGGTTGGTGCCTGGTATTCTTATCGTTTGTTTTAAAGAGTGAACATGCAAGGATTTCCACGTGACATTCATCGGCATCACCCGATTTGTTGCCGACGTTTTCTAGTTTCTGTTCAAGTGCTTGAACAAACATATTGGACAAAGATCTGGAACATTGGTCAAATGTTGGTCAGGAGCTTTCTGAGTGTGCGGACATTGATGGATACATCTGGGGAAATTTGGAGCGAACACGAATTCAACAGTGCGCAGCATGCATTGAAGAATCGTATCCTGGAGGATTCCAAGCAGTCAAAATGACGCCGCTGTGTATCGGTTTGATCGTGTTTGCATTTTTGGTCGACCAGTGAAGCTTTCGTGGAGGATCATCCCGCAGACCTGAAGGCCATCAAGATTGTGAGCAAGCTGCTGGAGAGCGACCTGAAAATGACGGGCTCCCAATGCCACTCCTTTGCTCGGGAAGCAGGTGCTGGAATGACCTTTGGTGATGTAGGGATATTTGGGTGTTGGCCTGAAACATGTTTGTAGTTTCCTGACCTGACATGTCAGAACCAAATGCATCACAATGACAAAACCAATGAGGAGTCGCAAGTGGCAACAGCGATGACAAACCACAACAACAACAGCAGCAGCGGCGGCGGCGGCGGCAGTGCCAGCAAGAGCAACAGCAACAACAACATGAAACCAACAAGAACTGCAGCCCCGTGCAATCTCCTTGCTTTTTTCTAAATTTTGAATAATTGGATAGGAACATACTGAAGTCCCGTGTGTTGTTTTGACCCCACCTGAAACAGCACACTGTAGCCCCATCCATTCGATTGGATTCGAAGCACACATGCGCTATTGGGTGCCGCGGGGAAAAGTAGGACAACGAAACAGCACCCGAAAAGGTCTGGGCATCGAAGATCTGTCGACGGCCGAACATAGAACTCCCGTGGTCGCTCTGAACGGCTCCCTGTTCAGCCGTGAAGATGGATCCCTACAAGTTACAAGTCCAAAGGCCTCCAAGATACTAGCGATGGCCTCAAACCTAATAGCGATGGCCTCAAACCTAATAGCGATGGCCTCAAACCTAATAGCGATGGCCTCAAACCTAAGCCTCAAAACTAATAGCGATGGCCTCAAACCTAATAGCGATGGCCTCCAACCTACTACTCTAGCGATGGCCTCCAACCTACTACTGTAGCAATGGCCTCCAACCTACTATTGTAGCAATGGCCTCCAACCTAATAGCGATGGCCTCCAACTGCTGTAGTGATGGCCTCCGACCTACTATTGCGATGGCCTCTAACCTACTACTGTAGCTATGGCCTCCAACATACTACTGTAGCGATAGCCTCCAACCTACTACTGTAGCGATGGCCTCCAACCTACTACTGTAGCGATGGCCTCCAAGCTAAT